TCCTGCTGCTCTCAGATTCTGTTCAATTCTCTTTGTGTATCTGCTAAACACGCACCCTCAGTGGAGTTTTATAGTCAAATCATGCATTGCCTGAAGCTGCTTCCTCATACCAGCTTTGAATTTGCCACTTTGCAACTTCAACAGAGCATCTTCTTCCTCTAATTTTAAACACTCCTGACTAGCACTGAGTGTACAACCACAGTGCTGTACACGTCTTTACATACTAGGATCCACATAAAAAACTAGCTGCAATTCATGGTCTGGATATATAATGGAAAACATTTGTCACAGAACAGCAAAGATTGAAAACACACTGTGCACACAAGTTCCTGGCTAAAAAGTGTTTGTATAACTCTAATGGCAACAGTCAATACTGAGAGTACCCTGTGGACGTACCAGTCTTTGACCTGTCTGGCCACTGGATGTCATCGTTGCTCTGCTGGGACACTGCTACAGGACCATTCTCTCAAATGCATGCACTGATTCTTTAGTTAACTTCAGTGTTTTAATGTAGTAAACTTCAACCTAAGCAAGAATGTATCATGCTGCTGAAGGCAGGGATGGTTCAGTCCTCCAAAACTACACTCAACTTTTCACTTTAAAACTTTAAAACCAAACCGTGTTCTGCTCAAGCTGGGGAATGCCAGTATCAAGCAGTCTCATTTGCACACGAGGGAAAAATGTGTGGGCTGGGGAGTGCTTTCCCCTTGATTTCAGGGCTCGGTGTGGCAGTACGCTGGCACAGTTAGTATAGTCTGAGGGGTCACCAGCTCTCATAGGCTTGCAAGGATTAAAGGGAAAAGGACCCCAAGCAAAAAAGGTGGCAGAAGGACACCCTCATGGAGTTGTGTAACTTTTGCTGCTGAGATGTAGGTGCCCAATGCCATGGCTTGTATTAAAACAGCCTGAAAACTCCAAGCGTCAGCTTCAGTTTTCACCTAACCTCTAATAGCATCTGTCCCCTCTTCCTGAGATTAGTGAGATTCACAGTCAGCCAGTGAAGGTTGGACTTCAATAATTAGACCAAATTATTCTGTACAAAAATCTGGAAATGTTTATGTGAAAGTAATGAAAGACAGAGACAATGAATTGTTTACACCTTCAAAAATCAATGAAATAGCACAACCATCGTGCCTTCCCGGAGAGCTACCAAATAATTCCAGTGACGCATCTCAGCAGCTTACTAATATGTTGTGGTGATCTGCAGTCATCTAGCTCGTACATACCCTGTACTGGCTGCAGACAAAACAGTGCTTTCATTGCTCTCCTCAGAGCCTTCTTCCTTTACAGGCTGCCTGTAGCTCCGTGACTCATTACACTGCTGTCAGTCAGCCTTGGTCAGACCTACATGGGCTGCTGGCGGCACCGACTAGTTTCTGCGTAGTGTCTTGCTGAAATGGTCTCTCACACCACCGGGTAAGTCTCAGTACAATATCTTCAAATTTCACTTAAGTCACCCACCCACATTAATTCATGAAACGTGACTGTTAAATAAGGATTGCAGAAAAAAAGACCACAAACACCCCAGAACTTATGTTTCACATATTTCTGCTCTCTCAAAATGTAGTTGTTGAGTGGGAAATAACCCCCTTTCCCTCCTTCCTAGTTTCAAAAGCTCTGAACTGTCACATTTCCAGAAACGTCGCTGCCAAAAGCACTCTACAAACTGGCAGTACAATACAGAGCAATTATGAACAGAGCAGATAGCTCCATTCGACTCTGCCAGCAACACAAAAGAGTCTTACCCTGAGCTGTCTGAGTCTGGACAAAGGTTTTGATGAGAGTGTCTGTGGTCTGAGTGTAGAGAGAGAGAGCATATCGAAGTGACTGCAGGTCCGGACTCTTCTCCAAGAAGGTTTTCTTCAGACCGTTCCCACCGGCATGGAAATATTGCTAAGAGTAAAAAGAAACAGGAAAAATACCAAGGAAGAATCACAACCAGCAACCCAAATTTATGTGCTATTGTGTGTGCAGATGGGAAAGAGCTGGAAAAACCCACAAAACAGCTTCTGTACTGGAAATTCAGCTCTTAGACAAACTGATACCAACTGCTTATGGCTTTCCTCTTCAAAAGCACTTAAATATGAATACGCTGGCTCCCCGCACATGCCAGTCACCTGAGCCTATGCAGGTTTACATAGACATGGCATTATTGCTCACGTAGCACCTTTATCATTGTAACAGCAGCCACAGACTCCTGCCATCTCCTGAAGTGGGACAGGCACCGTCTTCCCAAATAGTATTTGGGGATGGAGCAAGGGAATGACAGAGAAATGGAATCACTTACTTTGATTGTATCCAGTGCCAGATCCAAAACAGCACACTGCTTTGGAGTGAGACTCTTAGTTTCTTCTCTCACCATATGATCCTGCAAACAACCATTATATTTGACATGAGTGTGCTATCAGAGACTAAAGGAAAAGGAGTCACCAGGATCACCTCCTTCTCTGGATTCATGCTGTGGCTACATGGCCACAACATTAATTCAGCTGTTTAAGGAACGCTTAATGGAGTCTCTCAGAGTCATTTATTACAGCTTAACTTGAAAATAAACCTACTTTCTCTGTTTCTTGCAGGCACAGAAGAGAGAAATAAGGCAAGGACACGGACAGAGATAAGTGACAATTTAAAATCACAGTTTGTCTCTCAGAAAACCCAAACAGGAGTCTGCTTGCTACCCCTGTCATTCTACAGCAGCCACAACAAAACTCACAAAACAGCACCTAAACCAAGGAATTCTGAGAACAAGGTATTGGGCAAAGTTATTCAATGTTGTTTGCACATTTTTTTAAATTCTTCCCTCTATAAAGGTCACTAATTCATCACATTGTTGGTGCAGACGAAGAAAAAACAAACAAGCAACATGTTCTAGAAAATACCTTTGCTGAAAGAAAAAGGTGTTCCCATTAAGACCAACCATAGCAAAAAGCCAGGAATACCTTGGGAAGGGATTCCCTTTCCTGCAGTGGGATCGTATTCCCGTTAGACTTCTACCTGACTACAAGGATGTGTCATCCTTTGGTATTTCACGAAGGTCTTTCTCTCTGATGCTTAGTCTAGGTCTCAGGGAAAACAAAACCCAAATTCTAACTGTTTGAACTGCTGGAGGGTCAGGCCAGCTGGCTGCAGCCTGGGTGCTGAAGCATTCATGAAAAAGATGCAGGCAAATCAGGTAAAGGCTACTTATCTCTACTTTAAACGTGACAGCCTCTGATAAGAGACACTTTCCAGGGGACACATACACTGAATTGTCTTCAAGTGAAGCATGCCTAGTGTGTGGCATCATGGGTGCATTTCATGCTGATAAGCCTGCTGGCTCTCTCACAGCCTGGTGATACTTCACATTGCCCGGTGCTGTTCCCACTCATTATCCACCACGATCAATCTCCTGCCTGATGGAGACGGGGCTCACTGCAGTCTAGGCGGGGTGCTAGGCATTTGCCACATTTCTCACAGACATCCAGCTAGCAGCTTTGCACAGGGCTGTGTTAAACTGTACAGAAGATGCCTCTCAAGTCCGTAATACCTTAGACAAGTTTGCACCTTGCTTTCATGAGTACTAGAGACGTGCCTCAACTTGCCTCTTTCCCCCATGCAGGCTGCTCCTGGTCTGCAAAGCTAGATACGCTGTAAGGTGCAAACTATCTTCTGTTGTGACAAGCTGTCCTTAGGGGAGCAATAGCTCTCCTCCCTCTTCCTCATGAGTAATTCAACTGAAGATGATACAGCTTCACACTTCAGTACACAGAGGGTAAAAAACTCTTTCGCTGACAGTCAGATTAAGTGCACAATCAGCCAGAGCCCAAGGACACGTTCATGCGAGAGGCCAATTTAGGCAGGGTAGCTGTGTCCCCAAGGCAGAGTGACTTTCATGTCTGTTGAAATGACTTTCTAGGTGTGCCTGCCAGATTCCCCATACTGCGATAGAAACCAGGTGGTCAACATTTTTCTCTTAAACACCTAAACAGCTCATTTACCCTGCTCTGAGTCGTCACCCCACCAGTGCCCATGCTGTCATTGCACAGCGTTGTCACCGCTTTCTAAAAGCGTTTCCCAGTGCCATTTACTTCAACACGTTATGTACAAATAACCCAGTGACTGAACTGGTAATGCTTCCACCTACACACAGAGGAGCCCACCACTGTCATTCCCTGCATACCTGCCCTCTGCAAATCCCACACTATTCCTATAACAACCTGCACAGAGTGCTACCCTGTAGCAAGCCACAAATATTTACATCAAATAACTAAGCTACTTCTGCTTGAAGTTGCAAATAGTAATAATAATAATAATATCATCATCTTTTCCTGGTCTCATACTCATCCTTATATTCTCCACAGGTACTCTCAGAAGAACCTCTGTGGTCAGAGCTTGGCTGGTTGGCCCAGGGGCAGTTCAAGGCAGAGGAGGCTGCTGCTCCCTGCTCCAGCTGCTGGCTATTGAGCAAACTGAGCAGAAAGAGTGATAATATATGGGAGGCAGATATGTGGCACCAAGGTGCCAGTTTTATGGTTGGTTTTCTAAGCATTTTAAAATACACTGTGAAATTGATTTGTCATCAGGACGAGAGTCTGTGCTTGTCAGGTCTGTCAGTCTCTGTTTTCAGCTGAGTTATCTGATTCACTAGGGCTCTGTTCCCCCTGTTCTATTTAAGACAAATAAAACTTAAAATCCATCCCATAATTTTCCCAGGCTTTTAGTAGAACTGCAAAATGCACAGGAGAGGGGTTGTGAAAAGCCATTTACTCATGCCTTCCTCGTTAGCTTATATGTGCCCACAAAAACAAAAGGACAAAAAGAAAAAAATCCACGATGCTTACAGAGACCCAAACAATTTACACTCTTGTAACATCTACACTTTCCTGGAAATTTTTGGATGCAGCGTCGGTTCACACCATCTGTCAAACTAAAGGTCTCCAGAATTCAGGTAGCAGAGTGCTTTCACACTCCTGTACAGCTCCCCTGCCACATATAAAATCCCATGTACCTGGGCTGCTGTAGTCCTATAAGTGGATATGCAAATGAAGGCTTGAACACACACCCAGGCTTGCCTGATTTACATGACTGCATACATTTCTAAAAATGCAATCCAGAGTTACCAAAGTTAAGCTTTACAGTGACTGAACTGAAGACAGGCTGCTGCTGAGGGATGGACTTATCTGATGAATGGTAACAGGCAAAGCTTCTAACTCCTGGCAAAACGCACCTTGTGTATAGTTAAGAAATTCCACTAATGAGAAAATATGGAAGATGTAAAAGATAACAGTGAATGTCACTGACTATGCCCAAGAATGCAAGCAAGCACTGGAACTCGCAGTTGTCTATGCACACAGTTGTCTTTGTGGCCTGGGAGGAGAAACAGAACAAATTCAGAGCTCTCCCTCTCTGATGCCAGGAGTACAGGTAGAGGGCAGGGATGTCTCCTCTTCCTCCCAGTGCTGGGTTCTTGCTGTTGTTTTTGAAAGGGGAAGGGGATACTCACAGGAAAAGGGGGTCACATTTGGAGGCTGATCCAGCTCCCACTCTCCCAAGCTGGATACAAAGCTCCTCTTTCCCAATTTGTCCCATGGATGTGACATGGAGCATTGTAAGCGCAGGAAACAGTGGAGGCAGTGCAATCCTCAGGAGCCACCACATCACTGGGGAGGACAGCCTGGCTGTAGGAGTGCACAGGGCCACCCCCCAGCACAAGCATCAGCTATTCCCCTGGGGAACCACACTTGAAGGTTTATGTTATGTCACTGTTAACTGCTATGTAACAGCCTCAAAATGCAGCTGGAAAAGTGTGTGCATCTCATGACACACCTGTGCGTCCAGATTACTTACTAGGATTGCTAATAAGCACTACCTTGAATGAATTGTGTACTGCCCTGGCTCATAAACATGTGTACGTAAAATGTGGCTGCTGGGCAAGGGAAACAGTTGTATAAAGACAGCTGTAATAAGCATGCAAGACAAAAATAAGATGATGGCAAAAGATGAACGCATTTTGAAATTGCCCTTTGCTGTGGGAAGATTTCCCTGATCGTGCTTCAAGACAGAGTTCACATTCAACTCCATCTTCCTTGCAGCACAATTTGTGCACTGTGACCCTTCAGATATAGACCTCCTCTTGCACAATACCTGTTTTGTAGCACAAGTCAAACTATGGCACAGTGCAATTTGCATGCTGTAAGGCGTCACTATTTTCATACCATTCTTGTCGTGACCAGTGAATTAATGCTTGATTGGCTTACGATGAGGCAGCGTGCACTTAGTAATGCTCATGTCATGCACTGTCACGTCATGCACTGTCAAAACACGTCAACATAGCCTTCATGCTAAATGCCAGCTTGCCTGTAAAGAGAGCCTACGCAGAAGGAATTTACAGACACAGGCTTTCTTCCATAAGCAACAGCTATTTTTGTAACAGTTCATATAATTCATTGATAGCTAGCACAATTATCTTTCCAACCAGTATCTCATTAACAGGATCACAAAAGGGACTCCCTTTTATGGGGATACAGAGGAACTGGCCAGATATTGAAATCTGTACTCTTTGAATTTTAAATTGATATACCAAACTGGTCACTGTATCTACAGAAGAAACTACTTTGATGATTAAACCCACAATAAAATTTAACGGTTAATTTAAACACAATAGTAATGTTACCAGAATGCATTTAAAAGCACATTTAATGCATTTAAAAGCATTTATCTACAACTGAATTAATCAACAAACCTCTGGAAGCACAAGACATGCTATGCGCTACTTCCATGCTTACAGACACAGATGTTAACACAAGCCGTGCAGAACAATACCTTCAACTTTGACAAGTGTCCAAGTTCCTTAGCAGCACTGAAAATCAGCTGTGTGCCCTATGATAGCAAGAAGTTAAAAAAGAAAGAAGGGGGAAAAAAGGATTATAAAAAGCTCTGCTTTTTTTTTTTTCCGTTAAGCAAGTCAAGTTTCAGTTCACAGCTAGAACTTTATATAACCACCCCAAGGCCAGTCACAACAACTTGACTTTGTGCCAGTTTATTACCTAGTATAAAACCTGGCATTTCCGTGGATACCACATCAAGAGCTATTTTGGAGCACAATGTTCTGCTAACCAGTTCACTCTTGCTTACAGCAGCCACCCATTAAAACAGGGTGTGCCTTCAAATCGATTGCACAGGCTAGGGGTGAAGGCAGCGCACTGGCTTTGTCTCAAAGTTCTCCTTTAGATTTCAAGTCTAAATACACATAAGACTGGCCAAAGCAAAAGATCACACAACTGATGACAATCTTTCTATAGAAGTAGAGCCCAGTCAGCAGGGTAGGGGTAAGCATGCATCAGATCAGAAACAAAACTCAATCTCAGCAGTTTTCAGGCGAGAGATCAGCAAACAAATTCCAGTGAATACTAAAGCATCACCTTGACATGTCAAAAGCTTGGCCAATAGCTCTTCTTCCCCCACTGTGGCTTACTGATGCTGCATGACCAATGAAGAACCAAAAAGAGAAGAGAAATCCCCATGATGGGAAGTCTTGGTTCAAGTCACTTACACTCTAGTGTAATGGATTTTTACATACTTTATCTGCAATAGTTAAAACAAAGATATTTTTCCTTTGCCCCACCACAGCATTTCTCTGTTGTGTAATATTCCTTTTGCCTGAGGAGTTAAGTCCAAAATTTAATGAGACAGTCAAAAGCAACCAAGACAACTCTCCAGTCTCTTTTCCCAGAGATGCTTTATGAGGTGTGTTGGAATTTATTTTCTTCCACTATGCTCCTTTTCATTCATCTAACCTTGCCTTTTTCTTTACAAATTTACAACTGCCTATTAGTCCACTTGGAATAAAACTCCAGCCTATCGAAATTCTGTGGAGCTGGAACTACCCCATACATGCATTTTACAAAGGAGACTCTGGGAGCTGGATTCTACTGCAAAGATCATTGCTGAAATAATTCTTTTTTTCTAGGATTAAAGTTAACATCAACCTCACTGATGGGTTCTCCTCAGCAAAAAAAGTGTCTTTATATCTGCTGCTAGAGGTAGCAGGTACCCTTTTACAGAAGTAAAACAGGCAAACCGATTACAGCTGTAACACTGGAAAGACTGAGACCCGCTCTAGGGAGACTGGACACTCTCTGCCCATTCAAACAGCACTCCAGAAGTGAATTTCTAGTTGAGATACTTTTTCTTCAGTTTTGCCAGATTTGGAAATTTCTTCAAGCTGAAAGACTTTGTGACCTGAAATCACAGACAACGTCTTGATTTGCTCTATCTGTAACCATCACCTAACCCACACTGTTCCTCAGCCTTTTATGTTTTTTGAATACAAATCAATACCTAATGAACATTACTGACTTCGTATCTAAACATAAGCTCTTGAGAATTGATTAAATTCACAACCTGGGGGGGTGGAGGTGAAAGAAAGCGCAGGCAAGGACAACGCATCCATAAATGAAAGCTTCTGAAATGAGATTAGGAGCGTCACTTGCTGCCAGTATCTAATGTGCTGTGTTACAGTACAGCTCTCTAAACTGAAAGAGTACAAAATTCTCTGTATTTCCAGCAAGGGAGGTTGAACATGGCTGCACACCAGCAGCAACACAGAGATTTCTCTGTGTGCCACACCAAATAATCCACAAAAGCACACAGCTTCAGCCAGTGCCCTGGTACCCAACAGATGCACCTGCTGTTCTGTATGACTGGTCATAAACATGCCTGTTGACCAAGCAGAAAAAAAAACCAACATTTTTATAACCTGAATTTTGAAACAGTTAAGTGAGCAGTCTCAAAACACACAAATATTAACAAGGGCATGTAGTGACAGGACAAGGGGTAATAGCCCTAAGCTTAAGAAGGGCAGATTTAGATTAGATATGAGGAAGCAATTCTTCACTGTTGGAGTGGTGAGGCACTGGCACAGGTTGCCCAGAGAAGCTGTGGATGCCCCATCCCTGGAAGTGTTCAAGACTTCCAGGCTGGACGGGGCTTTGGGCAACCTGGTCTAGTGGAGGGTGTCCCTGCCCATGGCAGGGGGGGTGGAACTAGATGATCTTTGAGGTCCCTTCCAACCCAAACCATTCTGTGATTCTATGATTTCTTGATCCAACATTTTCAACCTTCATTAGACACTTTTTTTTTTAATAAATATACATTTGAATAACAACATTAACTAGCCTAGGCACATAGTCTCCCTGCCGCAGGCTTCTAAGGAGGTCAGGTCAGTAACACTGAGCAACACCCAGCGATTAGATACGCTTCGAGGGACAAAGCTGCTCACATAACTACTCCTCAGTTCTTGCCCGCTAAGAAAATTCTCATCAATCAGTGCCAATCTCTGTCAATGTGTCTGCGAGGAGAAGTTATTTTACTGTTACACTGAGTTTGTCATCAATGCTGGTAATATCTAACGAAAATCTGGACAGCTCCTTCCTCCACCAAATGGCATTCTTGTAAACAAGATGCTACACCTCCTCAAAAAAGTTATTTATTCATGGAAAACATATCACAAAGCTTTACAGACAGTACTTTTTCCAGGTGCACTTCTAGGGAATAAAAACAAATAAACTTAATATCAGGTAGTTTTGAGAATAGCTGCTCACAATAGAATTGATTAAAACATCAAGGATGAGAGATGAGGAAAAAATTAAGTCCTTATGAATTGTTTCTGCCTAGCTCGGTGGCAAAAATAGCTGGAAAGGGGACAGACCTTAGAGCTGGTTTTCCTGGTTCTTCCCATGAAATTAGTTTTACCTTCCTACACTTTTTGGAAACAGGAGACACATCTATAGTCCACAACACAAAGATGGTAAATTCCTTGTTAATGGTCTTACTGTGGGTCTTTTTTTCCCCTCAGTGAAAGCATTCAGAGAACGATCATCAGCTGACTCAAGTCTAAGTGCTAGAACCCAACAGAACTGCACTGATTTATATCCCCAAAGGCTCAAACTCTCACAGCTTAACTGTCCTATTGCTCAGTTGGCAAAGTTAGGAAACAAAAGCCTACTGCAAGTCTTTTGAATTGCAGTCCTTTTTTGGAAAACGTATTATTGCTCAGGCTTATTTTTCTCAGACATACCAGTGCAAGGAAGTTTTATCTGGCATTGTACATTCCTTTGCCAGATTTTTTTAATTCCTACATTCAATAACAATGAAATCTGATCATTTAAGTTCATTTTAAAAACTTCATCATCAGGCAATGTTTGCTACGACCCATCAAAAATTAGCCTATTTTTTAGTTGTTGTGGTGTATTAAACACTGAGGAAATAAGCTGAAAAGTGGGGATGAAAAAGGGACAATAATTATTGTTGGTACAGAGATCTGGGCACATGTGCAGTTCACAGACCCTCATTTCACTCAAGACTAAGAAAGCTTTTCTCCTCAACACAGCCTTGGAATTTTTCATTTCTAGCTAGCACAAGGGAGAGGATTCATTTAAACTAACACAAGTTAAGAAAGGCTTCAGAAAACCTCTTAAAGCCACATGCTTCTCCACCACAGAATAGCTCTGGAGCAGTGCTGCTTGCAGATGAGCCTGAAGAACAGCCAGTTTGGAAGTTATATGTAAAATCTGTCTGCAGCTTAAGGAAAATTTTGTTCTTATCCTAGACCTTGTTCTCATTTAGTGAAGAGAAGTCTAACAAGTAGAAAAAAGCACAGCAGGAGCAAGCACAAAGGGAGCCTCACGTGAATGGCTGCAGCACGGCTTGTGAAATAAAGGAGAGGCTCCAGAGGAATCATCTGTGTGTAAATTAAGCAACTCTTCATTGACCTGACTAGTCACTGATGGCATGCTGTAGTTTTGTCCTAAGCAGTGAGGGAGAAAGAAATTTATAACTAATCCATAATATGCCCAAGTGTTGTGCACTGAACCCCAAAATAAGGATTCTCAGAGAGCTGTGTTTGCATATCCACCCATCCAAGACAGAGATTGTTTAATTAAATGTTGATCTTTACTTAAAACGTAGTGAGGTGGGAACCGCTCATTGAGTTACTGGAGATCATGTTGCTACTGATCTCACAACCCATGAGCAGCCAATGCTCAGAGAGATAGAAGCCAGTCATCTAAGTCATTAAAGCAGCTCAGGTCGTCAGAGTGGGAGGCTGTAAAACTGCCCTGTCCCCACAGCATCCTTCATGGGCAGGAGCCGACTGCTTTCTCACCTGAGCCCCACCCCACACAAAATTTTCCAAAAGCAGCAGAGAATTGAAGAGCAGAGCTTAGATTTTCTTCCCTGTGTATACAGTCCGAGCTAATTTAAGTGGAATAGATCAGTCTGGAGAATAAGAGGGATTAAGCACTGTGCAGTGACAGGGTCATGGAAGCAACAAGTGAGACACCTTGCAGCACGTTGAGAACCTCCTACCCAAGTATGTTTTCCATGACCACCATCAAAAACAGTTTTGGACCTCTAGCAAGTTTACAGAAAGGAGAGAAAATATTGCATACAAGGGACTCTTTTTTTACTACGCATAGCAACTACTTCTTATGAGGTGCAGAGGAGTTTTAGGAGGGAAACCCTCATCCAGTGGTCCTTCAAATGCACAGAGGTAGCACTAGGGCTTTCTGTTGCTGCGGGCAGGGAGGACAATGAGTTACAGTGCCTGGGGCTATTTCTGAGTCTCATGTGCTTTAAGAGAAAGCAAAATTAGAGAAGAGGTGCACGGCAGAGAAGCAGAACAGCAAACAGAAAGTACTCCTTCTGCCCACGCTACCAACCCTGAGTTTTGCCTTGCCTTTCCTTGTCAGCCTTCACTACTATGATGATGAAAATCTGGTGGTGACAGAATAAATCACTATGTCCCAGGGGACAGTGGAAGCAGGTCTCTGCGCCTGTAGCCCATCTAGCCTCGCCACAGGTTCCCTGCTCAAGGACAGCAGAGAAGTCCATTTTAAAATTCTATTGTTCACAGCTGCGCTTCTGAAACAGCAATTCTTATCCAGTTTGGACTAGTTTAGCCTCCTCGCTATGATACAACTGATTAGAGAGCTAAAAATCCAGCTATGAACATTTTGCATTATCTCAGAAAACTGAAGATGCGCTTCATTACACAAAAAGAGCTTCTCAATTTGAAACTGAAGTGATGGCAACAAGAAACTCTTTGTAAAACAGACTCAAAGTGGCTTATAGCAACATCCCACAGGTTGGAAGAATTGGCTGATCACAGTTATTGCCTTCTTCATGATACAAGCACTGAATCACTCTCCTACTCCAGCTTTAAAATTCAAAACTAGCAAGTATAAAGCTCAAGCAGCTCCTCCCTGGTTCTCTCTGAGGCCCTTGATCTCACTGCTTCAGTTCTGAAGGGGTCATGCTAATGCTGCTCTTACATTATGATTTTAGCACCTGTCCCCAAAGACTCCTTTTTAAAGCAATTCAACGAAGAGAAAGAAATTTCATCCTCTTAAATGTAGATTTTTTTTCCTCTTTATAAATTAAAAAGGCAAGCAGAAATGATTACTCCAAATCTGAGCTCAGAGCAAGCAGTCTTTACTAAATTTACACCTCAGGCTAATTTTATGCTTAGTAGGTATGACAGCACACTGCATCTCAGCAGTTTTGTTTGAAGTTGTCATCACCAAGGCCAGAGGCAAAGGCCTTCCCTCTCAGAGCAAGAAACACCTACTGCAAGAGGCAGGTTTGCTTCACTTCTCTAGACACTGCAACCCACAAAGTCTACTTAAAATATGTAGGCAACTGAACAGTGAAAACCACTATTGTTCTACCCACTACTGGGGAAAAAAAAAATTAGCCACAGACCACAAGTTTACTCTAGCACAGAGATGAAAAGAAGTTCTGGATCATCTCCAAATAAGGAGGTTATCCAAACTTCACACTGCCTCCAGCTGAGGCATGCGTGACTGGCATTTAATCAGTTTCCGTGGTTTCTCAAAACTGAGGAAGAGGTTAATCTTCCATTGTTAAGAACATCACTACATTCATGACACACATTCATCCAGCACATCCACACAGCTGAACAATTATATAAAAGGCTGCCTTTCAAGGCAAATTATCTGGACATGCTTCCAGCTCCCCAACATCAGAGACACAGAAATCATGCCAGCCTATACTGATGGGGGATAAAATGGGGGGCGGTTTCATTAAAAAGCAAGCCCAAATTAACCACATCTATACAGAGAGACACCTGACTAATAGATGACAGTAATTAGACAAAAGTGATACCACTGTTGATCTAACGCCATGAAGTCAACACTAACTGCCCAGTAATCCCACATACACAGAACTCTTTAAAGGATTGCAAATCCCTAATTGATGAGATTTGATATACTTGATGGCAACTCCTTTTGGATCATGGACTTTGATTTTTTTTTTTCCTAGAGTGTGCTCTGTATCTTGCAGCGGTACTATAAATAGAGCTGCTCTTTTACTTTACTAGGTTACAGACATACTTTTTCCATCCTCGAGCAGGCTACATGCAGATAAATTTACCTGGACAGATGACTCATTAGGTCAAGGAGGAGAGTTACACAGGCAATGGCAACACTTTCTGCTACGAGTCAGGAAGGAGAAAATGCTTTACCGTATGGTCTGTAAGAGGAGGCAGCACAATCAACTTCTCCATGGTATTCATTACCACCCTCCAGAGCTCTTTCAGCACCCTTTTCAACACTGTCTTTTCACACACAGTCGCAAACAGTGTCAGGCTGCAGGGAGAAAGCAAGAACCGAGTAAGTTCAAAGAATGCAATTTGCAAGGAAGAAGATGTGTATGGGAGAATCTGTGCCCCATCCAGAGCAGTTTGTCGTAACAGTTGCTTTAAGGGTCAAATCTTCCCTTTTCATAAAGTACAGCCTGTCTTCACCCTTAGAGGTCTAGCACTAGAGATGTTTGACCAAAATGAATTATTGACATTTCTGATCTCAATAATTTCTATTTATTGACCTGGGGATTACAGAAGCTTCTCATTAAGTTATAGTGGTTGGGAAAAGTCCAAATAACAGAAGGTATCATTGAACTGGTTCCCTTTATGAAGATACTTCCTGATGTATCGGGTTTACAGAGTATATAGGAAAATATTACAAATATAGAGTAATAGGTTTTAAACTTTAAGGGGTTATTATAATGATTTTTGTTGAATACCCAAATTAATACTTCCCAGACTGTTATGCAGAAGTTCCTGCACAGCTTCTGACAGCTGCTGAAGTCTCTAAATATTCCACCTCAATAACCACCTCGAAGCATTTCTTAAGACTCCTCTGTATTTTGTTGCAATTGCATTCACCACCAATCACCTGCCTTATGTTTACTCCCATTTACATAAGAAAGTACTGCTTTATCTCCCTATTTATTCCTTCTTTATTATTGTACAGGCTACCAAAAAAGGCCAAGAAATGTTAGATTCTTCTTCAAAATGATTGCTGGACTGATCACACTGGGAGAGTCACAAAGCAGGAACTCTGCAGCCAGCAGCAGTGCACAGGCGATAGCTGACTCTTCTACATTGTGTAACATCTTCTCCCAGATTTCCCTTCTTCCCATAGCTGGTTAGACAGTAAATGAACAAAACTGAACAGGGACAAGATTGATGTGGGTAGGATGCAGGAAGTATTGAAAAAGACTCTCATTCTGCAAAGGAGGAAGGAAAATAATCCAGGCTTGGATAATCATAATTGAATTGACTTGCTCCACAGCTGGATGAAAAGCCCGTAGCATACCAAGTTCCCAGTGATACAAAGGAAGGTCGCTTCTCAAGATTCGTGAAGGCATGCATGTGAAATGCCCAAATGAGAGGGCTCCTAGATGTAGCGACTGCTAGAGAGTCACTTACTACATGGTGGCCCAAAGGAAAAGTGGGACAATCAATACAAAGAGCAACAAAAGAAACTGTATTTTAAACTTGTAAAGCTTTTTATCCTTGCAACATTTATTATGACAATTGCTGGCCACCTCTTTCAAAATAAAGAACTGCTGTGTATCAGCAAGAAGTTTAACTTCTACAATGATTAAAAACTATTTTTCTTTGTAGATCAAGGCTTGGCTGATGAGAATTATGTGCAGTTAGCCACAAGTCCCATAAAAGTGAATTACACTGCATGGTGTTAATGGCAGCAGTTAATTAAAGCAATGGATCAAGCTTACATACATCACCTAGTTCAGAAGCTTATTTTCTAGTCAGAACAGCACCAGGTATGATTACAACATATATGCTTAACATGACTGGGATACTAAGTAGTATATGTATTCAAGTACGTAAGTGTGGTTTGCCATACATTTGCTAATTGGCTACAGTACAATTTGTATAGGGAAAAAAACGTAGCTAGTAAATTTAGAATTTCAGTCTTTCCCACTACCTGATCAGCAGCGTGTTTTGCTGATTGCTACAACTGCCAGAGGGAGAAAGGAGAACTGAGAGTGTGCTCTGGCACTGAATGAGGGCTGAAGAGGTCATCCATGGCTTGAGTGAGGGGCAGATACGGGAAGAAAAGCCATTAATTCTTCCTGAAAATTCACAGGCTGGACATCTCAAGAACAATCCAAGAACATGAATCTATTTTTCCTTCCCCATCCTGTTCCCAATCTGATGCACTGTATGTGTAACATATATTTGAACACTTGCTTACTTTCCATCCAGGAAATCCATCAATGGTCTCAGGACATTATCTGCATCTTGTGCAACCGTGTTTCTGGCATTAGCAGCAACATTTCCAGTCCCTTTCACTTGGCAGAGGATATCAGACATTTGCTTGATGCACTCATCAATACGAGTCTGAAAGCTGAATAGATACAAGAGCGCCAAAACCAAGATTATCAGTGTCAGAGATATCAGCTCTAGTACATAAGGTAAAATAAAGCAAGTCCATAAACCATGCACTCCATTACACACTCTTCCTCCCCAAGACTTGCTGCTCATGTCCTTACTGTATTTGTTACCAAGAGGCATGCTATCCAGTTCCTTATGCCCATCATCCGCTGACAACCTACCACCTCTGAACACAAGACATCCCATTTGAGAGGAGTTTGTTCATTCAGCTTGCGAAAAAAAATGATCCTTTCCTGATTTCAAGAAAAAACGTTATTTTTGCTCAAAGCACCCTGCTGTATCTTTGCTTTCTACACTGGGTGTTAAACCATAGAGATTGGGACATAGCAAGGAGCAATGGCACAATGCACACACAACTCTGAGCACCCAGGAGTCCATCGGCAGTAATACGATTATGACCCACCACAGGCTAAGTCTTTAAAATAACAGAGACAGCCTGAGGGCAGGCTGAAACCATCCCACTGCCATACAGTCCATGCTATATCTAAGTGTCAAAATGGGATGTGGGGCTCAGCTGTGAAACAAGCAGTGTCATTGTAATGAAGTGACATGCAAGCTATTAAAGCACAGTTAGTGTTCCATCTCTTACTGCTGAAAGGAGGTTCAAAATGAAATAATACAGTGGTTAAAAATGATGAGTAGATCAGCAGAGCTGTCAACATATCAATTTAGTGAATAAAGGAAAATGCTTTGACATTTAAAAGAACAGTTACTAACAACAGGCATTACAAATGACATTTAGCTATCTACTAATGGCACAGAGGTTTGAAACCAGGAAGCAAAGTCAGTGCTAGGAGCTAGGGTAAAGATTTAAAAGCAGTAACACAGGTTTGGAAGTCACCTTTATATCTGCATAGATGGCCTGAACTTCTGCTGTGTGAGTTACCTAGGACATCTGTGGGTTGGGTGCCAGCATACAACCCCTCTGCCCTGTGGCTTGCACCTTCCTTCTCCATGCCGCCACCTCTTTCCTTTCCTGCACTGCCACCCCCAGCCTCACCCTCCCTCTTGTCACTTCTAACCTGCCTCTCAATGGAGCAATTCTAGAGAGCAATTCCAAAGCTCTTTCGCCACGCAGCCTCTGCTTCCACGTTCCCCATTGCTAGCAGAGTGGCTTGCAGCAGTCAGTTGTGGCTACGACGACAGCTTAACCATAGGCATAAGTCACATCAAATACAACAGTACCAAGAATTTACTGTACTGCTGACAGTCTCTGTTCTGTGACAGGCTAATCTCACCTCACAGTTCTCCCAAATACTGCATCAATTGCAGGACCCTGCTTCAAGATGTTGTAAACCCACAGCCAGTGGATGAAAAATAACAGAATCCCTTAAAAGATAAAAATTAATGAGGCAAAATTGTCACCGATTATGAAAAATGGTAGATGAGTTACTGTGACAACAGGTTCACCTGAAAGTGAAGCTTGTGCAGATGTACAGCTTAACAGGAGCCCTTGGCAGCAGCAAGTTAAGAGACAACCTCACCTATGCTGTCAGACAGGGCCTTCTGCTCCC